AAATTATTTTTTCTCATGAAAAATTAACACATTAATTCAGAAAAACAGAGCAAATTTTTTTTCTCATGAAAAATTAACTCGTTAATTCAGAAAAACAGAGTAGATGTTTTTTCTTCAAGTGAATGCAATACGCCTCCATAAATACGCCTCCGTAAGAAAACATTTCTTTTAAATTGTAATAATATTTCACAATTATTACTGTTCTTACGGTGTTTCTTATCAAATAATCTCAGAGACAAAACATGAATCTCGCAGACTCCAAACATTTGAAAGGTGGTGAACTGTACGTCAACATAAATCTATACAGCTATAACATGAATTTGGATAGGGTTTGAGACATTACTGAGATCCCTGGAATCTTTTTTCCTCAGGAAAGCCTCCATTTGCTCTCCATTTATTCTCATCGCCGTCTAGGAGACACAATTGAGACATTCCAGAGATCTCATTTGTGATTTATTTCCCTGTGGGCATCGGCGTTGCATGTAAAATAAATTCGCATTTCACTCAATTAATTCCCCTCCGTTAATATCAGTCTCCGAGCAGCCGTTGGCACAAGATGTTTACGCCCAGGGTGATTAAGATGGAAAAGGGAGTTTCTGACATTCCGATGGAAAACATTCAAAGCCGCTATTTTGCAAATATTTCAGCCCATTTGGAATTCCTTTCCGGTGATCATAAAAAAAAGACAACTGGCATATGTGTCCTCGACTCGGCAGCTAACTACAGGCGCAAAACGTGTCAATTGTGGAGGCAGCGCTGTAGAGTTTGGGTGTGTGCGCGCTTGGTGAAGTGTGGCATTTTGGCGACTGCTCGCTGCTCTGCATGCATGAATAATGAATGCACAGGTGGTGGAGGGGGGTCAGGGGCCCGCGCCATCCTCCAAACAACAGAAAGGTCATGCTTGTTTGTGCAGTGTCCTTCAACAGATGTGAAACGCTTCTGACAGAGACTAGCAAATTTCGGTTAAAACGCTCCAAAAAAATTAGTTGATGGGTCAATTATGGTAAAGGTCAACAGGCGCAAAAGGAGAGAGGCGGCTAGCTTGCGCGACTTATGATAATAAATCATCACCTGAGGAACGGAGGTCAAATTCTTTCAGTTGTGATGCCAGTATTACAGGCTTTTATTACAGATAAAGGCCCGAATTCGTCCTGGTTTTGCATTCAACAAAAGGCGGCTTTGTTTTAAAGGGACAGTTCACTTTGAAATTCATTTTTGGTATGTTTTAGCTTACACCAGTGTCCGTTTCCGCAGTAGTTTCAATTTTGATATTTTTAGGTCAAACCGTTCTTGTCTGTCAGTCATATAATGGAGGTCTATGGTCACCACCTCAAAGAGCATGCACAGAGAAGTCCAAATTAAACATGATTTAATGACTCATAAATGTAAGTACACATTGATGGCCTAAGACACGAAACGAGCGGCTTGTGTGAGAAAACGAACAGTATTTATTTAGTTTTTACCTCTTGTAACCACAGTGATCTGAGGGCTTTGTGGCTGTGGTTACAAGAAATAAAACGATATAAATCTATTCGTTTTCTCACACAAACCGCTCGTTTCGTGTCTTAGGCCATCAATGTGTACTTACATTTACGAGTCATTAAATCACGTTTAATTTGGACTTCTCTGTGCATGCTCTTTGAGGTGGTGACCATAGGCCTCCATTATATGACTGACACACAATAACGGTTTGACCTAAAAATATCAAAATTGAAAATACTGCAGAAACAAAGACACCTACATCTTCGATGCCCTTGAGGTAAGCTAAAACATACCAAAAATTAATTTCAAAATGAACTATCCCTTTAATGGCGACTCTCCGTCGTACAAATGGCAGTGCCAAATTGTTCTTTATTCACACAGAAAATAAAATAAAAAGAATCAAAAAATGAAGGTAGATTTTTCTCATAGCAACGAATCATTCCGATCCGCGTGAGATTTGTCAAACGACACTGCTCACAGATTTCCCAAAAGGTTACGATCATCAGTTCTTATGGAGAGATGCCTTACAAGAAGTCAACTTGGGGTTTGTTTGCTTCTTTTCACAGCAAATATGGTGTAATAGCATCAGCGGCGGCTTCAGACCTCTATGTAAAGTCAATGGGAAATTGCCTGGAAGTCTGCACTGACAGATGACCCGGCTACTTCCAGGCACAGGAAACAATATCATTTTCTCACAGCTCACCTTGACTCGTGTGTGCAAACAGTCGGAAGGGAGAAAACAGGCTTGCCCTCTGAGCTCCGGGCCTGATGCAATAAGTCACCATATGCTCGTATTAGCATGCTCTGCATTACGGCATGCGGCGCGCCTCCCGGTCAGCTGTACGCCAATCAAAACACATGCACCTCTTTTATTCTAAACAACAATCCAGCAGGAGTCAGCGGAGGATGAGGAGAGAGCTCTCTGCCGCTGTAGGTCAGCCCCATCTCCTCTCTCCGATCGGAAAATAAACAGAGATTCATGAGCTCAGAGGAATCGGGAGCGGGGCTGAGTATCCATTAGCTCTAGCGATGCAGAGCGGCAAAACGGGAATCGATAACAGGTTCTGTTCGAAATGTAGTGCAAATAAAATGAGCCGCGCTACTGATTCAATTCAAACGGCTGCTGTCAATGAGATGGAAGGACACAAAGCGCCTCTCATTGTCCTAGAGGGTTTGGATTCACCTTGCTGAGCCTTCATTAATACATGGGGATGTGATGTACTTTATTCATTTCCTTCGCTTACATCATTTCCTGGACTGCATGTCGAGCACGTTGGTGTCGGACGTGGAAAAGGCAACGGACTCGTGGACCGGCCCTACTCCGAATTATTCACCATATACATTTTCTCATTAAAATGCATGCGGCTCTTCAAAGCAAGACAACAATGATACCATCTGTTGTGTGCCGGCTGGAATACACAGAACAAAGACGCTGAAAACTGCAACTGTTTACTCTTGCCTCCAACACCGTTCACGGTACTACAGCCATTCCAGGTGTACAGTAGCAGTAATTGATAAAATTAAATCAAATTAAAAAAAAATATATATATATATATATAATGTAAAATCTTTTGCTATAATTCCATACAAAAAAAAAAAATCAGGAAAATGATTATACAAATATTCTTAAAAAAAAAAAAATGTGGCAACTGTAATCATCAGAAGTACTAGTTCGTCTTTTTGTTGAAACCCAGGTACTAAAAAGTAAATATTACATTTAACCACGGCCATCAAATATAACGAGAAGAGCAAGTATCGAGCGCATCTTTTTTATTTTCATTGATCCCGACCGCATCCTTTATCACCAACCAATTAGCATTAGTTGATTAACCAGGCCCATTACTCAGCTAATCGTTACAGTCCAACTAGGAATCCATGGTTACTGTTAAATCTATAGGCGGCTTCAGTGTACTGACATTCGTAACTAATTAGGGTTCTGTAGGGCATGACACAGTCTTGTTTATTTATAACCGACAGCTATTTTTCTTCTCGAGCCTGTAGTGCAGCAAACTCCGGCCAGGAGGGAGCGAGTTATGATCGCTGTGCAGATCTCACTGGACTTTTGAATGCACGTCCATAGTTTCACAGACTACGTCCTGTCCTTGCTGGAAACCAAGAGTACTAACTGATGAGCTGTTGATTTTGTGGTTGTTTACCACTGACAATAATCTCAACTCATCCCCCACCAGTTTACAATGCGTTTACACTTACAGTATCAAGTTTGTATATTTAGTTATGCATGTTTGTAAGTTATGCATTTTGGATGCAGTAGCGTGACCAAAAATGGCAAAATTACTGAAAATATTTACTTACAATTGTAGTTGCGAATTAAGCTCAGAATTATTCATTTATTTCATATTTAATATAATTATTTAGAATCAGATTTATTTATTTTACTATTTTTGTTTTATTTAATTACCCTGAAGCTTGTCTGTTATTTAAGCTTCAAGTAGTCTAAATATAATTGCAGTCAAATCGATTTATCACACTTAGTTTTTTTGTTTATAAATGTGTTTATGTATACATATGTGTATGGGTATATACTGTGAAAATAGATATATATAGATATAGATATACAACATATATAATAACACATTTTATAAAGAAAATATTTTATGTTTAGATGCGATTAATCGATTTGACAATCATGAGTCATTTGGCAATTATGTTTATATAATGTGTTATTATATGTTGTATATATATATATATATATATATATATTAGGGCTGTCAAACGATTAATCGCGATTAATCGCAACCAAAATAAAACTTTGTGTTCACATAATATATGTGGGTGCACTGTGTATAATTATTTTATATATATATATATATATATATATATATATATACACACACATACATGTATATTTAAGAAAAAATATTATTTATATATAAAATATTTATATTTATACATAATATAAATGAAATATAGATCTATATGCAGTATATAAATTAAAATATTTCTTAAATATATACAAGCATGTGTATATTTATATATATAAAATAATTATACACAGTGCACCCACATATATTATGTGAACACAAAGTTTTATTTTGGTTGCGATTAATCGCGATTAATCGTTTGACAGCCCTAATATATATATATATATATATATATATATCCACACACAGTATATACACATACGTATACATATACATAAACACATATATAAATAAAAACGTCTATGTTAGATGCAATTAATTGTGATTAATTGATTTGACAGCACTACTAAATATTGCTATTTTTCTACATGGATGAACTTCAGGTTAGGAGTTATGAGTTGTGAGTTAGCCAGGTTTACCTTTTAATCTGGTTATGACATACCTTGAAAATTTGTACAAACATTTTCTAACTGTTGAAATTAACTTGAAATTATTGTCTTTAGTATTCAATATTCAGCATACTACACATGATATACTGTACATTCAATTGAAATAACCTGGGGGGAAAAAATACAACAACAAAAAGATTTAATAAATCTTAATAAATCTTGATTTCTACTAAATCTTGAGCTTTACCTTTGACTGAGGTGTTGGGCGGAGGTCCTTCGATGCGCAGGTTCCACGGCGGGTCTCCCTGGTTGGCGAAGTCCCTCATCTTAAGGTAGCTGATTGTTAGGCGGATGATGGAGGCCTTATCCAGCTGGCTGGTGATGGCGCCGGGGAGCGGAAGCATCTTTGCCAGCTCGTAGAACTCGAAGTTTTCCTTCCCCCGGCGCGAGCGAGCGGCGTCACGAGACTTCTCCTTCCTTAGAGCCTGCAACCTGGCAGAAACGCAAGAACATCACTAATATCAACAACTGCTAGTCAAACCCTGACTGACTATGCCTTCTTGTTGGAAGACGTCTCATGACTGACAAAATGTCCATCATTTATGCTTAAAATGCTTGATTGATAAATGATTTGTTGATGAAGGACAATTGGTGAATCATAATTGAGCGTTTTAAATTTAAATTGCATAGATATTGAAATGGACTCCATAGTCCTAGTTTTATTTTGTGCATGTTATAGTAAAGACAAAATATCTTTCGGAAGTGTTAATATAGTAGCATAGTGCAATATTAATAAATAAGAAATCCACATACAGTGCGTTGTTAGTCACAGTATTACACCATAAGCAGAGAGTAAACCTTGATTTCTATTGATAGATACAAAAATATTAGCCTCTATTCATAATACACACGTAAACCCGATTCATCTCTATTGCGATATATAGCTATATGTCCCAACATGCCTTTCTCTTTTCAACACTGTTTTTCCCAGCCAAATAAAAGGCCCAGGAGAGACGGTCTGTAACTGAACTCAATAGCTGTGCCTGGCTCTTTGTTATTGACTGTATATAGTATCAAGAGCACACCTCTGTGCCAATCACAGACGGGGCAAGCAACCGCGGCGTTGTGGCGCTGGGCCGCAGCAGGCTAAAGTTGCAGTCACACCGACTTTGTTGTGCTCCGTCGGGAGACCTCGACTCAATTGATTCAGTCATTGGAATCCAGAAGTGGGTCGAAGTTGTGATTAGCTTTGGCCCGGGGTCTCGTGAGACGGCCCTGTGAATGACTTTTATTGCTGCCTTTTTACCACAGACACAGACGGCCAGCCAGAGATCTTCTTTCCCCGCCAAGCAGTTAAACAAAGAGAAAGAAACACAACACTGACCCAACCTTACCTGCATTTGAGCTTTTGAAACGATGCTAGACCGAAAATGCCCAAAATATACGCACACTCCCCCACACATGCCTGCACAAAACAATGATATATTATAAATTATGACTACTGCCTCGAAGTGCTTCTGTTTATTTTAAATCGAGTGATTTACAACTCTGCAGTGAGCATTTCTCTTTATTTATTTCCTTCTGAATAAAATTAGCCCCTTTCCGGCAGCAATTGCTAGCAACTCAACAAAGTGTCTACACTGGAAGTGTGCTCATGTTACAGAGTTAAACAAATGGTTAGAAAGAAAAGATTATATAAATTAGTAAGCCAGTGACCAGAAATATCAAGAGTCTGCTTCATAATTAATTTAAATACGTATATCTAATCAAATACATCGCTATCAATTCATTATATGTGCAGGGATATTGTCGTCAACAAATTAAAACCCATAACAAAAACATTTCCGTTACTCGAAACAAAACGAACGTTAACTGAAATAAAATAATACATAAATACATAATTTCTTTCAGTTACAGCAACATTTCTCATTTTCGTTTAGCTTAATGCCAGGTACACTCTGCCAAATTTTAGCCCCAATTTTCTACTTGCCGACAATTTTGTGAAAAATCGCAGACAAATGCTCAAAATAAGAGGCAAATTGGTGCTTGTTCACGTACTATAAGTATGGACGCTTGTTTCCACCACTGAATAAAAAAAAAATAATAATAATTGCGACTTTTTCTCTCACAATTGTGAGATATGAAGTCAGAATTGTGAGAAATGAAGTCGCAATTGTGAGAAATAAAGTCGCAATTGAGAGAAATAAAGTCGCAAATGTGAGATATAAAGTCGCAATAATGAGAAATAAAGTCGCAATTGCGAGGAAAAAAAGACAGAATTTAGACTTTTTATCTCACAATTCTGACTTTTTCTCACAATTGCGAGTTTACATCTCGCATCTCTGACTTTATAACACATAATTGCGAGTATATATCACGAAATTCTGACATCTTTTTTCAGAATTGCGAGATATAAACTCGCAATTGCGAGTTATCAGACCAACTTTTTTCCCCCTCAGAACAGTTTATATCTCACAAAATATCTCTGACTTTACAACACGCAATTCTGACTTTATATCATGCATTTCTGACTTTATAACACGCAATTGCGACTTTATATCAATTAATTCTGACTTTATAACACGCAATTGTGACTTTATATCACACAATTCTGACTTTATAGTCAGAATTGCGACTTTATAACACGCAATTGCGACTTTATATCAATCAATTCTGACTTTATATCAAGCAATTCTGACTTTATATCTCGCAATTGTGAGAAAAAGTCAGAATTGTGAGATAAAAAGTCAAAATTACTTTAAAATTACTTTTACAAAATTAATTATTTTTCATTCTGTGGCAGAAACAAGCTTCCATAGTGACAATCCAGTAGTGTGAAATGTGTTTTAGACTTGAAATGACATCGCCGACAACCTACAGCCAATGAAAGCGCAAGATACAGGGCAAGGGAAAGTTCAGGGGCAGGAGTCATAGACTTCCAACAAAACATCAGCAAGCATGGCCTCTGCAAGCCATTGGCTGCATCCACATTCTTCCATGCTATATAGTAGGCGAAAAACACTATGTGACAAAAGTAGTATGTCTGAATTCACAGTACCAATAAAGTTTGCAAAAAGTACTTGGATGACCTACTACCACCCGTGAGATTCTGAATTGTGCATAAGATGGGCACTTTATGATGCCACGAGGGAGGATTTGTGAATGGCTGGTAGGTCACATGATAATGACAACATGCCAGATGTAGTACGTGTGGATTACATTCATACTATATACACAGAACATACTTTTTTAGCGGCCATGAATTAATTATTATAGTAAAATTACTAAAGGTAAAAACGATATAAATACTGTTTGTTTTCTCACACAAACCGCTCGTTTCGTGTCTTAGGCCATCAATGTGTACTTACATTTAAGAGTCATTAAATCATGTTTACTTTGGACTTCTCTGTGCATGCTCTATGAGGTGGTGACCATAGACCTCCATTATATGACTGACACACAAGAACGGTTTGACCTAAAATTATCAAAATTGAAACTACTGTGGAAACAGACACTGACATCTCTGATGCCCTTGAGGTAAGCTAAAACATACCAAAAATTAATTTCAAAGTGAACTATCCCTTTAGCTAGAGCAGACTAAATTCTTCTACGGTCAACCACTGTCACGGCGGAGCAACAGTTTTGAAGAGAATCTTGCCGAGTAAGTTAACGTGTACAGTTAGATATCCAGATAACGCTCAATTTGATGGTGCACTGGTGTAGAACCTGCATCCTTAAAAACAAAATCCCCAGGGAAATGTATTCAAATAGAAATCAGATTCAAAACAGCTTTTTATTCATAAAGCACATTATTTTCAGTCACTTTAAGCACAAGTAAATATGCATGAACTCAGTGTATCAGCTAATAATGCACACGGCACAGGCTTTCTGCTGTTTACAGTCCCAGCACTGGTCCAAGGTTTGAGCTCATTGATTTATGATTTTCAATCAAACAACTCACAACAGCCGCTTTAATGCTTCCAAAACACAACTGCCCACTTTCTGTAGCGTTCATCATGTCAAGCCATTCTGAATTAAGTCGGAAATAAATCAGCCCAGAGCTTCTGCGTTCCCTGTTGCCCGACATTTAGATTAATTTTTTACCACCATAAATGCTAAATCAGTTATAGCAAGTGCCGAAAGATGGGGAGAGGAGAATGCCTTGATGGATGAAAAACGACTGTTGGTGGAGAAGAAAAACAGCAGATATTGTCTTCGCATTTTACCAATGAACAAAAAGCAACGGAGCCACAGAACGAAAACGCAACCTCACAATTCCTACTCTGTTTTCGTAACGGTCAATAATTCCCAAGCAACTCCCAGCAAAAAAAATTGCCCAAAAGACCACCAATGACGCCTCGCGCAGATCTAATAGTACAGTAGCAGATGCCGTGATCAATTTTTATCCTGTATGAAACTATCATTTCAACATCAAATATAGATTTGCTCCATGCCTTTGCATACGAGCGATGGATTTCTTTTCTCGATGGTGCTCCAGCAAACGAATAAAAACTCTATTTGATGGTCTACTGCTCAGACAGTATATAAAGCCAGTTGTAATGGTTGTTTGGATGCATAGTGCAACAGAGCAGCAGAATTTCATTTGTTCCACAAACTTGGAAGGCATTATGCTGTCCTGCCAAATACGTCTTGATGCACCAAGGTTAGGTGACCTTCATTTTCGTGACATATTTATTACGTACTATGGGAAAATGCAACAAACACGAAATCACTGTGATACCACGGGCCCTGTGAGACTCTTGCGGGACCTTTCAGTGAAATAGCACAGAGCTTTGTTTTGTGGCGTGGACTAACGGCAGCGGCTCCTGAGTAATGAGCGTTGCGTTATTGGCTTGTTTTCCGAGCACGAATTTATGATTTTTTGCTTCCAGGCTGGTATAAAAATACTCCTAGATTATCTGCAACAAACATAAATGTGTTATAAACTTTTTCATAGCATTTGCATCCTTGAAGGGTTTGAGTTTAGGCCCATGAAAACATCCTGTAACAGTAATTGGCCAATCGGTGTCAACCAACACTATCTCACGACCAATTTGACGCATGATTAAAAAGTGTCTAATTCGTACTAATTCGTACGACCTCACTCGTACTAATTCGTACGATTTGTCTAAACCCACGTGATGGTTAGGTTTAGGGGCGGGGTAAGGGGTAGGTCATTCGTACGAATTCATACGAATTGGCCAATTCGTAAAATATGTACGATTTAGCAAAATCGTATTAATTCGTCCGAGTGAGTTCGTATGAATTGTTACGAATTAGCCACTTTTTAATCATTCGTCGAATTCGTACGACTTGGTCGTGAGATCGGGTTGTGTCAACATTAATTTTATCAGAAAGACAATACAAAATGTCATTGAATCACAAATTTTACTTAGCAAACGTAGGGCAGGATTTGACTGTATCCATCAGAAGCTGGAAGGATCGTATAAAGTGGGCGTGGCATACCAGAATGGAGACATTTTATTGGATAA